GTTTCCATGTGTCTGTGTATTTTTGAGGCTTCTTTCTGCAGTTAATTTCAAGTTTAATTCCATTGTGGCTGGAAAACATGCTGGATATAGTTTCTATACTTTTTAATTTGTAAAGGCGTTTTTGTGCACTATCATGTGGTCAATCTTTGAAAATGTTCCATATGGGGGTGAGAAAAATGTGTATTTAGTGGTTGTTGGGTGAAAAGTTCTACAGACGTCCATCAAGTCCATTCAATTTATGGAATCATTTAAATCCCCTATCTTTTTGCTTATTTATTTATTTTTTTTGTCTAGATGATATGTCCAGAGAAGACAGTGGGGCATTGATATTCTCAATGTTTAGTGAGTTGCAGTTCATCTCTCCCATTAGATCTAGCAGTCTTTCTTTTACATTTGGGTGTTCCCATGTTGGGGTGCATAGACATTTATAACTGTAATATCTTCTTGGTGAACAAGTCCTTTTAGTATTATATAGTATTAGTATTTGTCTCTTTTTAGAGTTCTGGTCTTAACTTCTATTTTGTCTGATATCATTATCACAACTCCAGCCTTCTTTTGATTTCTATTTGCATGGAATGTCTTTTTTCTAGCCCTTTACTTTCAGTCTATGTATATCTCTATCAGTGAGGTGGATTTCTTGCAAGCAGCATATATAAGGCTTCTTCTTTTGTTTTGTTTTGTTTTTTAAATCCATTCATCCAGTTTGTGTCATTTATTTGGAGAATTTAATCCACTGACATTCATCATTATTATTGATGTTTTTGGACTTATCTCTGTCATTTTGTAAGTCATTTTCTTGATTATTTTGTGTTCTTTTTTTCTCTGTTTCTCTCTCTTTAGTTTTCATGTACAGTGCTCCTTTTAGTACTTATTGAAGAGCTAGTCTACTGTTGGTAAATTCTTTCAGGTTTTGTTTATGTGAGAATGGTTTTATTTTTCCTTTGCATTTGAAGTATAGTGTTCTTGAATGAAATTGTTTTTCTTTTAGTGTTTTGATTGTCTGTCTATTCCTTCCTTGCTTGCATTGTTTCAGTTTAGAGGTCTGACCTTACCTAATAGGGTAACTTTTGTAAGTAATTTGATGTTTCTCTGTTACCATTTTTAGAATATTAGCCTTGTCTTTGATTTTTACCAATCTGGCTATAATATGCCAGGAGAATGATCTCCTTATGTTGATTTTATTTTGCATCCTTTGTATTTCCTGTGTCTGAATATCTGAATGTTTAATAAGCAAAACATTTGGAAAGTTTTCCGTTAAGTATTGCATAGAATAGATTTCCTATGCCCTTATCAGATTCTTCACCTTCTGGAATACTAGTTATTCAGGTGGTTAATGGTAGTTAAAAATAATAATGTGTTTCTGCTTTCTCATGAAATGTTCAGCAAAGTTCAGTATATGCACAGGAAGGTAAGAAATTCTGATCGATAGGCAAATATAGACAAAAAGAGATGTTTACAACCACAGGTCAGTCTTTTGACTCATTGTACCATTCCTTTTAGCATCTACACAAGCACAGTTATAATTCAGTTACCTCTGGGAGATAAATATAAGTCTGATGTGTTATTTCATCTCATATGCTCCCGAATTTCTCTACACTGCACTGGGAGGTGCAATAGATTACTACTTGGCTCAGTGGTTTGGTAGTAGGATCTGTGAAAGTATGCCTGTAGGTTCAGACCTAGAGACCTATTTAAATCACAGAATTTCACTCCCTTCCCCACCTCTTCATATAATTACCAGAACATGAAGGACTGGGAAAAAAGTGGGTTGAGTAATCCCACAGATGATTCTGATATAATTAGCCATCCCTACACCTACCTCATGGTAGAACCATTGACCACCTTACTCCAAAATGAGCTTATTCTGGCAGACATCTTTTGAAGATTCTTTTTTTTTTTTTTTTAAACTTAAACCTTGGCCAGTTATTTTAGCCTTCTAAAAGTTAAATGACTATGGATGCTATGTAATATATGAACCCACATATGTAGTTGGGATCTAAATACCTACAGATAATCTATACAAGGCAGTTATTTACTTTGTGAAAACCACGTGTGGTAATAATTAAAGCATTTCTAATATAGTGAAGTTGCATTCATCCCTTATTGCTTAAAATAACACATTTCCACTCCCTGAAGTAATTCCTCCATAAAAACAATGTTCCTTCAGAAACATGGCATTGACTTATTTTTCTAGCACTTTTGGAAAATGTTTAATAAATAATGTTGTAGTGTACTCAAAAGCACTCGACGAATCTCAATAATTAATGAAAATAGCATTTTAGGAAATCTAAAAACAAAATCTAAACACTGAAAACATTAGACTAGATTAATGGCATAATATGCAAGATAAAAATGTGTTTATCTTTTGCACAGTGTGGGTTGGGGCAGAAGAAGAAAAGTGCTTAGAAATAAAGAAGAGAAGACCATTACATTTCGATGAACTGGAACTCACATAATTAGTCAGAACTAACACAATTAAAAGTGCAACTGCAGGTTAAAGCATTCATTTTTGTCATTTTTGTTCTTAAACATTTATCAGCGATTAGATTAGTACCAAAAAATAAAGTTTCTTAAATATGTCCCTGGGTCATTGAATAGTCAACTAAACCTCAAATAGTAATTTAGAGCCACAAAAGATTTTACATCCAGGAAAAATGAACCCAATAATTTCAGAGATCTAATTCACCTTATTCATTAAGATAGAAAAGTAGATTTACAGAGTTTCAACAAAAGAACGGATACAAAACAAAGCTTCTGATTAACTTTTCATTGTTTTTAGTTTCCTGATAGTGTGTGTACTTACTAGAGAGAGACAGAGAGAAAGGGAGAAGGTGTAAGCACCTCCCAAATGGGTGTAATCACACTGTACTCCCTTCTCTTTAATTTTTCATGTGCACAATGCACAAGGGCCTAGTGTGATTTTCAAGCCACCAGGGCCAGAATTAAAGCTGCATGGTTCAGCCATGTGAGATGGGCTCTCTTAGCCAGTAGGGTGTGGGAGCAGCTGATGGTTACATGTAATAATGGGGGACTAGCAGATGGCGTAATGGTTATGACATTGGTCTGTATTGGCTGGCTCAGCAGCTGGATCCCAACATGACCAACAATTTGTTCAAGTCCCAGCAGCTTGAGAAATAAACCAGCCGTGTGTGTGTGTGTGTGTGTGTGTGTGTGTGTGTGCGCAGACACATAGTTGACTGCGGTTCAAGACCTGGGCCAGAATTAAAGCTGCATGGTTCAGCCATGTGAGAGGGGCTCTCTTAGCCAGTAGGGTGTGGGAGCAGCTGATGGTTACATGTAATAATGGGGGACTAGCAGATGGCGTAATGGTTATGACATTGGTCTGTATTGGCTGGCTCAGCAGCTGGATCCCAACATGACCAACAATTTGTTCAAGTCCCAGCAGCTTGAGAAATAAACCAGCCGTGTGTGTGTGTGTGTGTGTGTGTGTGTGCGCAGACACATAGTTGACTGCGGTTCAAGACCTGGACCCAGTGACTTAAAACTCATGCCAGACACATGTGCATGCACGTCCAAATTCCTGAGAAGAATGGAGGAAAAGGGACTGTGGCATGGCCATTCCCACTGGGGTAGGTGATTCCTTGCTTTCTGTCTCGCTGGCAAGCACACGTACCCTATAGCAAAGATCTCTCTTAAAACAAACAAACAAACAAACAAAGGTATATACTAGCTTTATCATGAGAATTTTCACTCACAGCTTGCTGCTTTGCTACAGGAATGGCAATTGTATCTATAGACAACACTACCTATAATAATAGTACCAGTTTTTATTAATAATTTTTAATCTTAAAATTCATACTCATGAACCAGCTGGTGGTGTAATGGTTAATGCAGATGTATTCCATATGACTGACTGTATGGTTCAAATCCTGGGCCCAGTGGCTTGATAAAACATGCCAAGTATATGTGTGCCAAAGTCCTGAAAAAAGGGAGAAATGGTGGGAACCAGCAGTTAGTGTAATGGCTATGTCGCTGGACTCCCACGTAGTCGACCGCGGTTCGCATCCCGGACCCGGTGGCTTAAAACTCACGCCGGGCGCATGTGCGTGCATGCCCAAGATCCCGAGAGGAGAATGGAGGAGAAGGGATTGAGGAGTGACCATCCCCCCTGGGGGGTGATTTCTTGCTTTCTGTCTCTATGTCTCTCTCTGTCTGTCTGGCGAGCACACACGCCCTATAGTGAAAATCTCTCCAAAAAAAAAGTGGAGAAATGGAGAAGAAGGAATTGTGCCATGACCTTCCTCCATGGGATGGTGCTTTCCGCTCTCTCTTTCTCTGGCAAGCACACATGCTTTCTTGATTTTTTTTTTTCTTATATCAGATTCACAGCCTAAGTACCCATCAGCAGGCGAAATGAATAAAGATAATGTGTATTTGTGTGTGGGGGGGGTGTGTACTGAAAAATCACATTGTACTCACTCAAATATGTACTGTTATATGTTAATTTTAAAAATCAGATTTGCATCATTATGAGGAGTAGGTGGGTGAGAAAAGCTGTAAGAGATTATATGGGAAAAGAGCAGTGGAAGAATTTAAAATAAAATTGAGGACAGGAGACAGACTAAGAACATTTACCAATATACTATTACATGATGTTGAGTATATAGAATTAGTAAACACAAGTTAGGAAAATGCTTGCTTGTGTATCTCACATTAAAGAATTCAGAGGTCTGTATTGGCTGGCTCAGCAACTGGATCCCAACATGACCAACAATTTGTTCAAGTCCCAGACCCAGCAGCTTGAGAAATAAACCAGCCGTGTGTGTGTGTGTGTGTGTGTGTGTGTATGTGTATGCCCCAAATCCTGAAAGTTGGAAGAGAAAGAGGATTGTAGCATGACCATTTCTCATGGGGGGGGGGAGTACTTTGTCTTCTTTTTTTTACTTTTGTCTCCCTGTCTCTCCCTAATGAGCATACATGCCTTCTAGAAAAAAAGAAAAGGAGATATGTATTAAGTCTTACTCTATTCAATTTGCCAGCTCAACCACAAAACACCTACACTTTGAAAGGATTTGCTGTTGGATCCAAATGTGTTGTGTGGTCAAGTTTAAGAAAAACTTGGTCTAAATGTGAGATTTTGGAAATAGCTGAAGAAGGCACAAGGGTAAGTGAAGTTTAAGTATTTATCCCAAAACGTACTAGCAGACTCTTAAGGAAATGTTACCAAATTTATCCGACTAGAGAATGCAATTGAACAAACATTTACTTGCTCATTACCTCTGGTAATTTGATGTCATGTAAAAATCATTTTTTAAAAATTTTTTATTTTATTTAGTTTTTGCTGTAGAGCATGTGTGTTCATCAGAGAGAGACAGAGAAGGAAAGCGAGAAATCATCCCTCAGGGAAGATGTCGATGCCACAGTCTATTCTCCTCTCGGGATTCTGGGAATGCAAGTGCACGTGCTCAGTTCTTTTTTCAAGCCACCAGGTCCAGAACTTGAATAGCAAAATTGGCCATATGGGATCCAGCCATTGTAACCATCACACCACTAGCTGGCCCATATGTAAGAATCCTACCTAGCAAGAAATCATTTTAGGCACTTTCATCTCCTTTACCCTCAAAATCCTGTTAGTCACCAAGCTTCACACTTTTTACTTCTCTTTTTTTGTTGTTGTTAAGGTTTTTACCATAGGTGTGCACTTGCTGGAAGGAGACAGTGAGAAAGATAATGAGAAATCACCCTGCGCGGGGTGGCCATGCTGCATCCCTTTTCCTCCATTCTCCTTCTGGGATTTTGGAATGTACACACATGTTCCTGACATGATTATCAAACCTCTAGGTCTGGGACTTGAACTGGAATCAGCATGTGGAAGTCCAGCACCTTAGCCACCATGCTACCTATTGGCCCCATTTATCTTTAATTTTTGAAATTTGTTTCTTCCATGAGAAAGAGAGAAAAAGATAGAGAGATGGGCACTCTTACCAGTCTTTAAGCTGAGCTCTACCCCCAGCCTCAGTGAGCCTGGATCATGGACACACACGTGGATGCATGCCTAGCATACACAGGGAGACTGCCAGATATTAACTCATGACCTTCCCGTGTGGATCCAGCCTTACAGAGCATTGCCTTGTCATTGCATCTCTTAGTTGGAAGTTTCTTTTTTTTTTGTTTTTTGTTTTGTTTTGTTTTGTTTTGTTTTGAGAGGTTTTTGCTATAGGGCGTGTGCGCTTGCCGGAAAGACAGAGAGAGACAGAGAGACAGAAAGTGAGAAATCACCCCCTGGGAGGATGGCCACGCAGCAATCCCTTTTCCTCCATTCTCCTCTCGGGATCTTGGGCACGCACACACACATGCCCCATGTGAGTTTAAGCCACTGGGTCCGGGACTCTAACCGTGGTAGGCTACGTGGGAGTCCAGCGACATAGCCATTACACTAACTGATGGTCCCACTTGGTGTATTTCTTAAATTGTAGATTCCTGAGGCTTGGGCTGCCTGCTGATTCAGAATTTCTGGGGGAGGATTCTGGAAATGTTTATTCTTATACCACTGAAATTAGAAAATCAATGGACTGGAATATAAAAGTCAAGCTCATTTACATGATAGGATGTCCTCTAGGTTTGGGCATCCATGTACCTCTCCAGCCTTAGGTCTTCTTTAGATTGGGTTGTTAGGAAAGTCATGATGTATTTTTCTATTTTTCTATACAAAAATATGTGATGACTTACCCAACAATCTAATATTTTATACTGCTCGACTTCACTTACATATACATATTTTGCGAGGTTCTTTCCTCCTCTGAAGGGTGGGTTGGACAGAGGCACAGGGAGTTGGAAAAAGATGCGAGGTAGTGGTGTCTGTTTATTAGCTGTGTTTACTAGGAGCTCACAGAGTTCTTGGCAGGCCTGCAAAGCCCACAGCGGTGCTCACGAGCACTTCCTCCCTCTTGGAGCTAGTAACACATGTAGACAATGCTCACAGAGCAGCTTTCTCTCTTTCACTCACCACACACGGAGCTGACCCGAGCCAAGGCCGAGCAGAGCAGGGCTAGCTAGCAGGAAAGTCCTGAGCTAACAGGGCAGCACTGTGTACATCAGTGCTGGGCTGAGCAGGGCAGCTCAGCGCTAGCTGACCAGCTGCTCCTTTAATCTTAAAGGAGCTGAAGACAGTAGTGACTCATTGCAAAACCCAGACTGTCACACATGCACATGCACGTCGCAGTCAGTGGTATAAAACTGAAAGTCATCATTACATAACAAGCATGCAAGCGCAGTACAACTAATAACGTAAGTTGTCTACCCTGTGGCCTTCAAACATGATAACATAGGAGGCGAGGGAGCCAAATTAAACCATCCTCACTCCATTTGCAATGCAATGTGCCATTATGCTCATTGCTTTGAGGAATTTAATAATGCAGTCCTAGTTTGCCTGTATTACATCCCATTCCTAAACTGATTAATTCCTATTTGTCTTAAAAGATTTACTTTCACTTTTGCCTATTTCAAAAGTATGCACTAACAGTATTTTTCTAAATTCTCCATGTCTTCATTCCCCCCACAAAAAAGCCTTATGCTTTAATTATTTTCCTGTTCATCCTGCTACAGAAATCAGTACTTCCTACATTGTATTGTAATTTGTTTAGAGGGATTTTCTCCCCTAAGATTTTGAACTACCTGAGGTCTAAATTTTATCCATCTTTGATCTCCAGGGTGGATACTCAATATAAGTTTGTTTAACTGAAGCAGG